AGTAATATTATGTTATAAAACAAATCAATTTAATTGAGTATAAAATAATTTTTGTTTGTAATAAATACAGTATATTTTTTTAGGATTTATTTTTGTTTAATTTACAGTTAGTTATTGCTAACAAAAAAAACTATATTTTTTTCAATTTTAATGCTTTTCTATATACAGTATGTAATCAGTATTAGCTGTACTATAGGTTCAGATTTGTGGTTAATTTTATAGTACAGTATTATATACGGTATACACATAGTGTATGTAATACATAGTATGTATACTATTTGTAGTTAAAGCATATGTAGTCAACCAATACTACTAGCACTGGGAGTATTAAAAGAGAGAGATATATAGTGAGTGAGTGAGTAAATAGGTGTTAGAGTGGGTGTGTGTTAGATATATATATATATATATATATATATATATATATATATATATATATATATATATATATAGAGAGAGAGAGAGAGAGAGAGAAGCAACAATTTTTGCTTAATTTAGTTTAAATTAATTAATTACACTTTAATACTAATTTGTATTATAAGTAATTAATTGTATTTCAATATTGTTTTCTAACTATAAATACAGTATTTTTTGTTAATTAAATTATAAATAGTTTTATTATAACTATATATGTTTTTTATTTAATTTATTTTTATTACTTATTACTTCAATTAGTATTAAAACTTGAATTAAAATTGTTGACATATAGATAATATATTATGTTTATGGTGGGGGAGTGGGGGGGGGGTAATAAAGTTTTTAACCCATACAATGCTAATACATGTATTATACTGTATCTACTAATACATAACTTTAKGTATTTTAACTGTTTATCATAACTATTACAAATAGTTTTTAATTAATTATTATACTATAATAATAATATATTATATTTATTTAAATAATTAATTAATTRTAAAGTTTRTTACTAAACTTTTTTATTTATATATAAAATAAAACTTATAATTATATTATTTAATTAATTGTTATACTATTTATAATTTAATTAGTATTACATTATATAATAACTTTTGAATGATATTATAACAACATGTAATACACATTAATAACGTTTATTTTTTTAGGGGACAATAAAGTGTTAATACCCCCSCCCCAAACAATTCAATTAAATTTAATACAATTGACTATTAATTATTATACTATACATCAACTTAACTGTTCATTAATTACGTTTAATATTGTTATACATTTGTATTACACGTATAGTTATCAGAAATAAAAATAACTTATTTATATTCAAAACCAAAACACAATAAAACAGTAGTGTAAATGTATATATTAGCCTAATATTAGTGTTTAGGGAGGGGTGGGCAGAAAGTTTTTACAAAACATAGACTATATATTACATAGTTATTATACACACTATTTTATTTATATATATATATATATACAGTGTACATATTAAAAGTGTATAATCTATTATAATAATCTAAGTGCTTTTTTAGTGATTATGTCTACTATTATTGTTTTTGTTTTGAATAAAATCTGAAATTTTTTTACAGTACATGTAATGTATTTACTATTTATTTTTTTTACTGTAATATTAGTCAAGTGTTGTGTCAGYCAATCACGTGTTTCACGTCATTCGGTTTTTTTCGAAATAAATACCAAATAAAACCACAAAAAAATAAAATGTTTTACTATTAAAAGCTGACAATTATTTTATTGGTTGCAGTCATCATAATCACTGGCCAATTAATCGGCCAATTGACCAACAAACACATCGCACACACACACTCACATCACAGTAATGTCATCGCCGTTACCGCCGCTAAAACAGCTGGTCTTACAGCTRGTCTGGCTGTTAACCCATGCGGTGATCACTATCTGTCTGGAGGTCTACTATCTGGTCGACTGTTATGTCCGCCGCCGACGTGGACGACGACGGCGACGACTACAAGATATCGGCGTGAACAACGACGACGACGACCTCATTGCCAAAGATGTCGGCCAATTGATGTCCCGATTGACAAAAATGCCGACACATATTGCCGTTTGTCTACACGAAGACCGTATAGACCCGAAWAAGTTGATCCAATTGATCCATTGGTGTCGACAGTTTCAAATAAAATACGTGTCATTGTTTAGCGATATGTCATCGGATATCATCGGTAAGGTTACGGTTTTTATAGACAATCAAAAATCATTTAATTGGTGTTTACTCTTCAAACAGCAAACAATTTATTGTCGACACATGCAATCAACGGTCGCATCGATGGCAGTCAACAACAACAACAGCAGCAGCTGATCCCGACAAGTMTYGACAATAAAACTAAGTCTACTAATAATAATACAAATGGCTATAAATTAGGKACCGATAGCTATGTTTGCCGCCGGCCTTTAGACATATCAGTGGACAACGACAACAATGAGAACCTGAAGATTGCTGTCTTTACGCATACGGATTCACGGGCTAGTATTGTCCGGGCGGCCAAACARCTGACACGCACCGGATCGCCGGCTATCGAGTTGGCCGACATTACGCGACAATTGAAAAGTGAGTCGTCCCCCGATTTTTTTCTGGCCAACAAACCATTTCTAACCATTTATTTACTCTCTCTCCCTCTCTCTCTCTCTCTCTCTCTCTCTCTCTCTCTCTCACTCTCTCTCTCATTCAATAGAAACCTATGAGTTTCCTGATCCCGAATTACTCATATCGTTTGGCCAGTCGACCGGCGTCTATGGCTACCCGTTATGGCAGTTAAGGTTAACCGAAATCTATTTCTATCGATCGTTACGGGACTTCCAGTTCGACATGTTTTACGAAACTCTGGCCAAGTATTCAAAATGCGAACAAAGATTTGGAAAATAATTTGAAAAATGAGTTTTTTTTTATTTTTAAGAAAAAAATTAATTTAATTTAAAGAGAATTATTTTATATATAGAAATTAATTAATTAATTACCGACTTTGCTATATATAATATATATATATATATATATAGTGGTACCAAGAGAGGTGCAATTATATCTAGATATAGTTGCATATATTTTTTGTAATATTAAATAACATGATTACTAAAATTGACGTATAGTTGCTGTCATATAAAAGTTTTTTGAAACTGTAAAATAAGGTAAAATTTTTTGTCAAAAATATTTAGCAATTAGTATCCATTTTCACTGTCTATGTGTCTCATTATGACAACAAAATGACTGAATGTTTTATTAATGTGTCATCAAGTGAAGACTCAGAGGTAAATCAAGTGAATGATATGTCAATGGATATATCAATAACCTCAAGAAGTAGTGAATTGAATCTGACATCTGTATCAACGAAAAAGTCAAAATTAAAGACTAGACGGTTATCATATACAATACAATTCAGATTGGAAGCCATTGAATGGCATAAAAACAATGGTAATAATCAATCAGAAACTGCAAGACAATATGGGACCTCAAGACAAAACATTGCATTATGGTTACAAAATGAAGACAAATATTGCAATTTATTAGACAATAAGTCCGTTAGTGTGAAAACCCGCCGAAGACTTCTTAAACCACGTATCGGTAAATTTCCAGAAATGGAGTCCAAACTTATTGAGTGGTTTACTAAAACACGAAATGATAAACTTTTCGTCACATATGAATTATTAATTAGCAAAGCATTAGAGATATTTAATGAAATCAATACCAATAAGAGAGAGACTGTGGGTCTGGAGAAGTCAGACAGTCTTCTGTTTAAAGCATCGACTGGTTGGGTCCAAGGATTTATGCAAAGATATCAATTATCTGTCAGAGCTGTTACAACAATTGGTCAGAAAATACCAAAGAATGCGAGAGAAATCAGTTTTTGTTTTTTTCAAAATGTGGATAATTTTCGTTCTCAACAATTGCTGCAAAATAATCAAATTATTATCATAAATATGGATGAAATACCTGTTTATTTCGATTTACCACAAAACCACACAATTGATAAAATTGGTAACAAATCAGTAGCACTGCGGACGACAGGACCAATGAGAAGACTAGATTTACACTTATTTTATGTGGGGATAATATGGGTCGCAAATATAAGGCTACAATTATTTTCAAAAATTTGAAAAAGATTCCTAAGTGTAAGTTTCCATCTGATGTCGAGGTAATGGTCAGCGCGAAGGGATCTATGACTACAGATTTGATGCATCAATGGATAACTAAAGTGTTTGCTAAACGTCCAGACGGTTTGTTTCTCAATATGGCAGTCAAAAATTGTCAATTAAAATACCGTTCACTATTAACCATTGACGCCGCAAGAGCTCACAGAAGCATTGAAATAAAAAAACTTTTCGCTTCACATTATGCTACAAAAGTTGAGATAATACCGGGAGGTATGACGCCACTACTTCAACCCGCAGATGTCTCCTGGAATCGACCGGTTAAATCACATCTTAAAAAATATTGGGCCGATTGGATGGCATCAGCAGATGATACTAAACCTAAGACTAAAGACGGTAATGTCAAGAGACCATCATATGGTTTGATTGCCGAGTGGTGTAGTAAAGCGTGGAAAGCAATACCATTGCAACAAATTATTGATAGTTTCAAACAATGTAATCTTAGCCAAGTCAGAGATGATACACAATTACATTCAAAGCTAAAGTGTATTTTAAGTGATAGACAACAATCTGATGGACAACAAGAATCAACAGGAATTTCAGATACAGAATCTGATAATGAAGAGATTGACGAAGTAATTGATTATATTCCTGATGTTAATTAATAATTACATTACATTTGGTTTAAATAAAAATTTTTGAATTGCTATAATTGAGTTATAATTACATGCAACTATATGTCAATTTTACCAAGGGGTGCAACTATATCTATGTATAATTGCATCAATTTTTACCCATGTCAATTTTGCTCAAATTTAGATATAATTGCATGCTATTATATGTCAGCAAAGTCGGTAATTAATATAATTTGGGGGGTCTTTAGAAAATGAATGTATTTTTAATTTTAATTAAATTAATTAATTCGTAAGTTTTAATTATTATTATTTTTTTTATTATATATAAATTATTCGGAAACTATTAATTTTGTTTTAATTTATTTGATTGGTTGAACTCTAATGTAAATTGAAATTTTTTATTGTTTTTTTTTGTTATTATTATCTTCAAACAAACAGTGATAGTATTTAAAAAAATGTTACCTTTTTTTTATTAAAAAATAATAATAATTAAAGTGATATTTCATTTATTTTGTTGTTATTGTTGTTGTCATAAATTCCTGGGATTTTTTTGTGTCTTATTTTTTAATTGTTTTGTTGTTTCAATTATTTTATGTGTTGTTTTGTTTTTTTTTAAATATAGTTATATATACAGACATTTATTTTACACCCAAACTATCGATGTTTACGGCTCGGGTCCGCCGCACGGCTGCTGGTCGTCGTTGTTGTCCGCGACTTACTGCCGGCGGCGGCAGCGGCTGACGATTCATTTGACGAGTGGCCAACACTTCTATGGTTTTTGTTAGACGACGACGGACTACGCGATCGACTACTACTACTACCCGATCGGYGCCGCCGTCGTTGTTGTCTATCACGTGATTTACTTCGCGATCTACTTTTGCGATCAGATAGTGATCTGCGATCAGTACGACTAGTCTTTGGTCGACTACTACTACTACTCTGTCTAACAGATCTATCTCTAGACCTACTTCTTCTATCTCTATCCTTATCTCTATTTCTATCCCTATCTTTCGATCGACTRCTTCTTCGATTACGATCTCTATCACTGGATCTCCTACTYCTACTACTTCTWYTTCTTCTACYACTACTATCACTACTATGTCTACTACTTCTATCTCTWTCGTAATCTGAMGACTGTTTTGATCTGTCATTACGTGATTTTCGATCTTTTAAATAAATTTTTTAATTAAAGAAAATAAAAAAAACAAACAAATAATTAGTTAATTATAACATTTAAAATTTTTTAATTACCATTGGTTTCCGATAACTTATCTTTAGATCTCTTTAGATCATTACTGCTCTCATTATTATTATTATTACTATTATTATCGCCTTTATGTACATCCGATRATGACTTAGTCTTGTCATCTGATTTACTGTCCATTTGATGGCTACCACCTCCTCCTCCTCCGGGGTTGTTGTCCTTGTCTTCGTTATCATCGTCCGAATCGCTTCCATAGCCAGTGAGTACAGTCAGTCCTCCTAAATGACAATACAAGTTAAATACGGCAACAAAATAATAATAATAATAACATAAAAAATAATTGACAACTTTTTTTATTAATTGGAAAACTAAAACAAAAACAATTCAATAATAACTACAATTTAACTAATAATTAGTTAATAAAAAAACATCAATAAATAAATATTTTGTTTTTTAAAAAAATTAACTAAAAAATCAAATAAATAACTTTTCAATAGAAATATTTTTTTAAATAAATAAATAAAAAAATTTAAAAACAAAACTTAATTTTCTGTAATCTATTATTTTTTTAGATAATTTTTTAGTTTGTGCTTAAAATTCAAATTATTGTTTGTTTTCTCTTTTATATATATWTACATTTTAATTATTATAAATTAATAATAATTTAAATATACAATAAATTGTACGGTAATAATATTTTTTTTAATTAATAATAATTAAATAAACCATTGAATTGATTACATACCAAGTTTTGTAGACTTATTAATAATTGTTGGTTCGCTTGATTGCATAACAACCTCTGGAACTTAATTTTTCATCAAGATCATTTTTATCATCAAATAATTTTTCAAATATATCAATTAMTTAAATATAATAAAATTAATTATAGGTTTTTTTWAAAACAAAAAAAWTAATTAATTAAAAATAAAATAATTGATAGAAAATATAGCTTTAAAAATATATAGTTTAATTAGTGATTTTATTATTTTTATGATTATTATTATTATTATTATTTTTAATTTATACTAATCTAAACATTTAATTACTAAAATATTTAATTAYTAAATATGAATTGTTATTTTTTCACTAAATATTTAATGAATTTATGAAACTATGGATAAGTTTTTTTATTTTAAATAAATTAGTTATAAATTAATAATTATTTTACTATAAAAAAAATTGAKATTAAATTTTTGTTTACGACAAACCATAGCAATCACTGTCATTATTGTTAATATTATTATTATTATTATCACATAATATGTACCTCTTTGGTGGCGACTCTTACTGATGACATCCCTGGCAATGGCGTCGATCTCATTGTTGGTCACATCYAACAGTATTTGTGTCATCATATGGCGTACTCTTAACATCTGTTTTATCAATATATATATATATATATATAGTTATCGGTAATAAAAATAAAAACTTTCAGACAATCCTATCGTTWAAMAAAAATCCAGTAAAACAAACCATCTCTTCATCGCTGATCTCTTTTCTGTCTTCAGCGTCAAACCTATCGTCGCTGTCMTCTCCCTCTTCCTCYTCCTCATCGTCGTCATCATCGCTGTCCGCATATTTGTTGCCGACCTTCTGTTCCCATTCAATCTCCCGACGCAACTGTTCCTCCTTATCCCTRACAGCTTTAGCCCTTTCCATCCTATCGTGTTCCTCCCGTTCCCGTTCCACACGTTTAGTCCTCTCTTTTTCCATTTTATCCAATCCCTCCCTCAGCCATATCGGTAATGTCTTTTTCTTGGCCGCGTCCATTATATTATTAGCAATATTATTATTATTATTATTATTACACATAATACTATTGTTATTAACATTATTGTTGTTCATAATATTGGCTGTAAAGTGATCAATGTTTGCGTTMATCGGTAAGTCGGTTGGCTTCGGCAGCGGCGGCATTTGATTTMCAGCCATCATTGGCGGTGGTGGCGGCGGCCTCCACGGCATCGCTGCYGATGTAGGAAAGTTAGKTCCCGAAGCAGCCATTGTTGCCATTGTAGGCGATGGAGGTGTCGGTAGCAACGGTTGTTGCATTGGTGATGACGATGGAGGCGGYGGCGGCAGTCCAGTCATTGGCCGCATTGTGTGTGGCGGCGGCGGTACCGGCTGTCTCATTGGTGGATGCGGTGGAAATATGGGTCGATTCCAGTTGTTGTTATTATTATTAATGTTGGCCTCAATCGATGTTTGATAGATTGGTCGCGAAATATCTTCGTGTATTGGCGAGGCCACCGGCGGCGGCGGTTGCATGTGATGTGGTCGCCGATGAAACAATGGCGGACCACCACCCGATGATGTTCGTAACATTATRTCATCGGGTGATGATCCGGTCGGCATGTGTTGCGGATGCATGCGATTCATTTGCATATGCATTGGCGATATGGATGGCGGCTGCTGTGGTGGTCCACCAAACGGTGATAACAGCGATGGCGGCGGCGGTCCGCGATGTATGGTCACCATTGGTGATTGCAGMGSCTGCGGTGGCGGCTGTGGTGGTGGCGGCGGCAACAAATGCTGGACCATTGACTGGACGAGTATGTGTTGCGGTAGCAGCTGATGGACAGTAACCGCCGGTGACTGTAAYAAATCGTGTAGTTGTTGCTGATGTTGTGGCGGTTGCGGTTGACTGGTCTGCATTTGTATCCATTGTTTGGCCAGTTGTGCCCAATCGACGTTATCGGCCGACTGTTGCTGAACCCAACACTGTGTCTGGTCTGACCATTGTTGYTGTTCGCGAGTCCAGCCGCCGCGCGATTCAGCGCCGCCGGTGCCGCCGYCCTTGGTTGTTGGCCATCGATGGCCACATAGTTTTTATGTATTATATATATATACTGTCAATTAATATAYTGGGAAACTCCCGACGGGATTAGCCGTTAGATTAGTGATCAATCAATTTGATAGACAATACAATACAYAACAAAACAGTAATAAATATCTAATAATAATATAATAATAATAATAAACATTTGACGTAAACATTATTAATGGTATTATTATTACAACACTATAGTAGGTTATATACAGTTATAAATTGGATAATACTATTGTATAGCTATACAATACAGTAGACTAGTGTTGTAYTACTAGAAATATTTTAGCACAATATTTGTATACAATTTGTATAAAAAAATATAACTTAAAATTACTWAAAAAAAATTATAAATCAAATAAAATAAAAAGTAAAATTGAWTTTTAAAAAATTAAGTTTTTATTTTATTGTTTTTTGTTTGAAAAAATAATTAACAAAAAAATTATGTCAAATATATTTATGATCAAAAAAAAAAGTTTAAATAATAATAAATTTAGTTTTTGATTTTTACATTAATTAATAATTAATTATAATTTTTTTCATTAATTATTATTATTATTGTAAAAATACTSTATATATAAGKATATGATTTTATTTTTTGTTTTAATTTAATAAATTTAATACATTTTATAMCCAAAAAAAAAATAAATAATAATATTATATAAAGTAATTGTCATATTATTATTACATTATAAAWTACATKACGTTATTTATTGAACGTAATTTATGGTATACATAAATTATGTACTTTGATGAGTTAACTAAATTAAATAAAAAAAGTACAGTAAATATTAAATAAAATAAACTATATATTTACACACATAAATTAAACAAACAAAAATTTAACAAGGTAATAAACATATATAAAATAATTTTAACTATCATTTAAATATTTTTTTAATTAAAAAAAATTACCTAGATCATTTAATATATTTTTAATACTAACCTAGATTAATTTATTTTATTGATATATATATACAGGTGTTATACTATAGTTTGTTTGTTTGGGTTAGWGTTTACGTGTTTTTTGTTTATAATTGACGGAACGGTAATCTAGTGGCCACTGACCACCCGTTACTAYRCAAACAGCAGCAGCGGCGGCGGCGGCGGGAAAATGGCATTACATTCGGCAATTAAGGGCAAACTGATTGCCGTTATCGGCGATGAGGTATTTATTATACTTATTAACTAAATCGGGGGGCGTTTCCCACCCACCCGTYCATCGCGATAACTATCGGGTAGWTATTGACCACTATTTCCCGTWAAAATAAAATTATTAGGACACTTGCGTCGGGTTTCTGTTGGGCGGTATCGGCGAAATGAATCGCCAGAAACAACCGCAACATAACTTTTTGGTTGTCGACAAAAATACMCCGACTCTGGACATTGAGGACACTTTTCGGGCATTTCTGAAACGGGACGACATCGACATCATATTGATTAACCAGAACGTTGCCGAACTGATCCGTCACGTTATCGATGCCCATACGGCACCCGTACCGGCCATATTGGAAATACCGTCGAAAGATCATCCGTACGATCCGAACAAGGATTCCATACTCCGACGGGCCAAAGGTCTGTTCGGTTCGGATGACTACCGATAGACGCTGATCGGTCTATCGGGTCGGGTCGGGTCTGGCCAGTTGGCTGACTGGCCAGCCAGCCGTGTGTTTGTTATGTCTATACATTTGAACCCGATTTGTCGACAACTGTTTTTTTTATTATGGATAGACATTACCGCTACATATGGACGGACGGACCGACCGATAGACAGATAGATATTATACTAATATATCATATGATTTAGTGATAGAGTTATATATATATATATATTATTTTTAATTATAATTATAATTTTTTGTGGTTATACTATATGTATGTTAAACAAGTTTTTTTTTATGTATTGTTATACAGATTATTATTATWATTATTATTATTATTGTATAAATTAATAGCAATGTATGTATAATGTATTATAATTATAATTCATTATAATTTATATAGTTTTYAATATTATAATTATTATTATTATTCAAGATATATTTAAAATTAATATTTACCATAAATTTAATGATAATAAAACGGTATTACAAATTGTGGTRTTAWGTTTGAGTTATTGTTTTTTTTTGTTTGATTGAATTGATTGAATAAATTGTTGAAGTTATTACTACCGGTAATAATAATAATAATAATTTTTTTTTATAAAAATAATACAAAATTAAYGGTAATTATATATTTTGTTTGTTTGTAATGAAATTTWTTTAATTTTAATTTATYGATTATTACAGGAATATTCTGGCATTTATTTTAGCTGGCTAATTAATGTATTAAATRGAWAMATAYAGTWATTAATTATATGATTATTTATKGGGTACATTATAATAATTATTATTATTACCAATTCTAATTAAAATAAAAAAGTTTATTTTATTAAAAATAAATTTTTGTTTTACAAAAAAAATATAATACCTGTACAATATTTAATAACATATATAGTATTAACTTATATTAAAAAAAATTTAATATTTATGTTAATAACAAYAATAATAATGTTATAAACTACTATTATATTTCAATATTATTAATTATAWTAATTAATAATTTACTATACTGTTTGATGGTTAATATGATTATTACATTGATTATAATTATATATTAATATYTKTATTATTTTAATWTATATATATATATATATATGTGAATTTATATATCATTTTGAAGGAAATGAGTTGTGTGTTTTAKTTTTTTTTATTTTAATTTTTTTTTTAATATAAATATAAATTATATTTTCAATGTAAACTTCAAAAATTAATACTAATAAAATTTAATAATAAATTTTTTAATTAATGGTTGCGACAGTTACCTGGATTTAGTATTTTTWKTATTATTATTATTATTTGTATTTACTATTATTATTATCATTATTTTTYTAAMGCATATTTGTTAAAGTATTTATTATTATTATTATTTTTAATAATAATAATAATAATAATAATWATTAATTTCATGATTGCAATGATAATTTTTTTGTACACATAGTTATCACTTGTTTACTACAAAATAAAGTTTTTATATATTTTTTTATTTTAAATATTTCTGATTAAATATTTGTTATTTTATTTAATTAAATTAATATATTAATATATGTTGTATTTTTTGTTTATTAAATTCAATTGTTTAATTAGTGATTAAATTTTCTATTTTAAGTAATTATAAATATAAAATAAATAATAACTTAATATTTTTATATTAATCTTTATTAATAWAAATATTAGTAATAAAAAAATTGTAAAAMACGTGTATGTTTATGTGGATTACGAAAAATGTATAATAAAAAAATAGTTAATAACTAATTAAWTAATTAATAATAATTAACAAATAAWCATTTAAACAATTTAATCGATATATAAAAAAACTTTGATTATAATGTTTTTAAATATAAATAATTATAAAWATATAAATATATAATATAGTTTATATAATATATATATATATCCTARTGYTGAGTGTGTGTGTGTGTGTGTGTGTGTGTGTGTGTGTTAATAACTGTGTGTATTAATTAAATTAATCAATTGGTGATTATCAACACCAACAAAAAAAAATATAACTAAATATATTTTTTATACAGTATATTGATATATATCATATATACCGCAAAWATACTGTAAAAATATATATAWATTTATATATAAATAGATATAAAGTAAGAGTTGTTGTCTCTATATAATGTCTAATTGAATAAATAAAAACTAATAGTAAAATRTTTTGCTATAGTTTTTATCGCAATTGTCATAACAGCGCTGATTGAGTGGTTGTTTAAATTAAATATATTWAATATATATATATATATATAAAATTATGATAATTATTATTAATAATAGGAATTAGTATTAGTAGTTATAGTGAGTGTATAAACTACTATAAGTAATAAATAATAATAATAATAATAATAAAATATTATACATTATATATATATATATATAATAAAAGGATTGATTAGACAAAAAAAATTATATTTTATTTATTAAAGTCAACAAAATATAAGTAATGTCTACCATATTATGATATTATTATTATAAAGTAATTATTATCATTATTATTGTTATTACTACTACTATTAAATATATTATAGTTAATAATATTTAATAAATATAATAAACTATTTATTTAAAAAAATCATATATATATATCATATATTAATAAAAAAAAATACCAATAATTATATTCAACATTATATAACATTTTGATATAACATTTAAATCTATTCACAGTTTTTTTGTGTGTTTTGTGTATTATTTTGTGTTACAATAATATTTAAGTTTTTTAATTTTTTTTAATAATAATTATTAAAACACATACTAACTATTGAAAAAAACATGTATTTACAGTACATTAACAAAATGTTTAATATACTAAATATTAATCGTAATAATAATAATAATTGTCTATTAATTGTGTTTTTGCTAATTATTATACAACAAGTGTTTTTCAATAGCAATACATTAATAGTTGTATGCGATAATAGACATTATAATAGTAGTTATAATAATAATAATAATAATAGTTTAGAAAAGTTATTGCATACTAATAACTATAATATTAATAACTATAAAATTATTTCAAATCAATGGCCAACTGATGATATAACAAATTTATCAATAGTTATCAATAGTGATGGAAACGGTAGTTTAGAGTCCAAAAATTTTACCGATTTTCCTAATAATAATAATAATTTTAATAATAATATATCATCGAATAATAATAATGATAATAATCATAACTTAAATGATTTAAATAATAAAGATATTATAAATAGTTGCAAAACTAGTGATGACTGTAATAGATATGCTAAATGTTGTCCAGTTTTTTTTGATGATAATGATAATAAAAATATAACACGTTGTGTACCTACATATTCATGTAAAGGTAAGTGTAGAGTGTCTAGGTGTTTTTTTAAATCAATTAATTAATATTATCTAGTACACATACTAAAAATCAATAATTAAAATTAAATTAAATTATTTGACAGTTAAAAAAAAGTTATTATTATAGACTATTTAGCATTTTATATATACTTATAAAATAAAAACTTTTATAGTTATTAATTTTTTTCAATGAACTATTACATTAAAACGATTATATTTTAATAATTAAAAAAAAATATTATATATTAGATTAGCTTTTATATTATTATATCATATTATATATTAATTAGATACCATTAAATATTACTACAGTATAAAACACATAACACACATACACACACACACATACACACACACACACATACACACACACACACACACATACACACACATACACACACACATACACACATACACACACATACCAGTTGAACAAACAAAATATAATAATTAGCTAAAAATTTATATATTAGTATATTATGGATTATATAAAAATAATTATTATTTATTTATATTTATTTTACCTAAAAAAAACTAAACTAAAGGGTTTTATCAGCAAAAGTGCATTTCCGACAGTGACTGTGAATCAATTCAGGGACTGGTATGCAAACCAATGGTATACAAGTGCGAGTGTCCCGACGATAGTTACTTTGTTAAAGGGATAGCTCGTTGTGTGGAAAATAACGGCAACAATGGTAAGTGATGTCCATTTCATATCTAACCTATACATCCAAAAAAATAATAACTAACTATTCATACCCTTTCCACTATATCATACACCCCCATACACATCATCGGGCTCCGGGATGCGACTACAAACAAACAAAAACATACAGAATCGAGGACAGCCATGCAAATCTATAAGATAACAATGATATTCGCATCCTGTTGTCTGGCACTCATACTAATCATATTTTTGGTATGCATTCTGCGTAAGTCCTACTGTCCTCCAGCATCGGCGGCTGGCCGTTCCCGTATGCCAAACGGACCGCTTGACAATCGGACTATACCCGATATATTTACACTGTTTCCGCATTGCGGTAACTACGATGGCGGTCCACTGGGCGACGGTACGCTGCCGCCGTTTGAAAAGCCGCCCACCTATGACGAAACACTTACACTGATACGCAATCAGATAGGAGTACCGCCGCCCGCCTACAGGGGCCGTAACGGTACACCCTATTCGTCGAATCCGTCGACACCGGAACTGGCCGCCCGGGTACACGTCCAGCGGCCACAACTGATAGCTGTGACCACTACTACTACTGGTAGCCGACATTCCGCATCGGCCAGTCCTCCGCTATCGTTGGCGTCGGCGTCGACAAGTAGCTCAAGTTTTTCGGCCAACAATTCGCCTCCCGGTCTACATTCGTCTCGTGACGAACTGATTGCCGGTCCCAGTGGTGAATGTAGCCGACGGTCAGCAGTAGCCACTACTAGTAGCGGCAGTGGTGGCGCCGGCGGTATAGATAATCCAGCATTTTGTTGATATGTGTGTATCATTGATATACAACTTATAAATTATATAATGTATTGTGTTATCAATTAATTTAAAATAAAATTGTGATTTAATTATTATTATATATTTTTATATATATATAGAAAGAAAAAAACTGTATTTTTTCTTAAACTTTTTTTGTTGTTGTTTTGTAATATTATTTATTATTATTAATTACCAATTGAATTATTTATTGATATAGTTATTCAAGTCATTGATTTATTTTTATTTTTATATATATATAAATTTATATTCATACCATAAGATTGTTTGTTAGCTATGATTTTTTTTGAAGTCATTATTATTGTATTCAATAAAAATTAATTTTTTTTAAAATTTAATCTTAAATGCACATTATTATTATTTTAATTAATTAATTAATTACTAATATTATAGTTAATTATTATTATTATTATTTTGTATTAAAATAAAAATTATTAAAATAATTATCATTAATAATAATAATAAAATAAATAAAAAATACACTAAAAAAAATTTCAATACAATATCAAAAGTTTAAAAATAAAAAAACATTTCAAATAATTCAGTAATTATTAAAATATAAATTATTAATTTTAAAATTTAAAAATTTACTACATATTAAATGAGCAAGATAATTTGAAATACAACAACAAACAATTTGTTAGCCAAACAACTAAATTTATTATTTAATTTTTTTTACTATTTTATTAATTAATTTAATTTAATAAATATTAATAATTGCCAATCAATTCATTCAATTTTTAAATTACAAATTATATATGTTTTTCAAACACTTTTATACAAATGTTTTTTTAATCAATTATAATTATTTTCATTTAAAAAAACATTAAATTAAATTATGTGAGTGTATATAACATATCATTTAAAAATCAATTTTATTGTTTTGAATATAAATTGAATCAATCAATTAATTTAATTATATGTTTTAATTATATAGGTGTCTGTCTATATATATATAAGTGTGTATATCGGGGGGGGGGGGGGAATCTCAATTATAATATCATTCAATTATAATTATTGCAATTAAGAAAATAATTAAAAAAATTAAATGATATATATCTATATATATAATTGAATTCTAGTTGTATGTGTGTCCGTCAATGTTTTTTTTGTTGAAATAAAAATGTTCGCTAAAATTATTTTAAATTTTTTTTGTTGATAATAATAATAATAAATAAATAAAAATATATATAATTTGTTGTTTTGTTTGTTTCAATTTATATATATATTTTAGTTATTTATTTTTTTTAGTATATATATGTGTCTCTCATTCAATCACATCCGTAGTCTTAACTGTTGTGACAAAACCTTTATTTGATATCATCTCTCTCTCTCTCTCTCTTCATCTCACTTCCCGACAGTCAATCCGTCCGTCCGTATTGTCCGCCAATATATATATATATGAATATACGAAATAAAAATGAAATCATTCGTTTGTCTTCGCCTTCTTCGTCGACTTCAATGCCTTCTCTCTTAAATGCTTTTCCAATTCAGTCATATCGACGCCATTGTCCTCATCCTTTGACTTCCGTTGATCTCTTCGTTCATGTACTTCATCACCGCCGCCATCATCATCGTCGTCGTCATCGTCCGACTCGGAACTGGACGTCTGTTGAGTTCGTTTTGAACTTTTCTTATGGTGTTTCTTATGTTTCTTGTGATGCTTTTTATGATGTTTTTTACTCTTCTTTTTCTTCTTCTTTTTGCGCGCCTCTTCAGCACTCGACTCGTCCGAACTTCGGTCGGAATCCGTTACCTTCTTCTTGCGTTTCTTTTTCTTCGACGACGACGTAATAGACGACGATTTCTTGTCCGATGTCGTTGTCAACGATTTCGATGACGACGAAGACTTTTTCGGTGTTACGCTAGTAGTAGTAGTAGTAGTGGTGGTGGTCTCCGATGGTCTGTCGGCAATTGGTTTCTTCGATGACGTCGGCGGCGGTTGAGGCAGCGCTGGACTACTTCGTCTGTCCGAATCATCGAATTTAGATTTTTTCTGTATAACGGGCGGAGGACTCTCCGATTTACCCGATTTTGATCGTTTCGATGCCGACGATGAAGGCGGCGGCGAACTCCTAGACTTTTTAGACACTGCAGGCAGTGATTGTGAGGGCGGAGGCGGCGGTGGTAACTGTTTCGGCAGCGCTGGACTCGCCGATCGTGACTTCGCTGACTCCGAGTCGGATGGCATCTCATTCTTGACGACTACTGCTGGTAGTGTTGTCGAGGCCTCTCGTTTTGGTGGCTGTAATGCTTGCTGTTGTTGTTGTGGTGGTGGCGGAGGCGGCGATGATCGTCGGGAATGTCTAGGAGGAGAACGCTGCTGCTGTACGGGTGAACGTCTAGAACGACGTGCAGGTGATGGCGATGGCGAGTGACGTTGTTGTTTGGGTGATATGGATGGCGAGTGTTGTTGTTGTTGTCGACGCCGCGGTGGTGACCGAGACGGTGGTCGTCTGCGCGGCGAGAATGGTGATCGGCGGCGATTGCGCGGTGGCGACGAACGAAATCGGTTATCATTGTAGCTACGAAAGCCGAAACCTCGTCGCGGTGACGATCGTCGAAAACCGCCGCGTCTTGACGGCGGCGACCGGTATCGATAGCCACGCGGACTGCGTGAACGACTGCGCGACGGACTTCGTCGCCGTAAATCGCGACTTCTTGAGCGTCTTCGACGGGGCGATGTTGATGGCCGTCGTCTGGGACTTATTGAACGCCTACTACGCGGCGAACCTGATCGGCGTCGAGGACTTATCGATCGTCTGCGCGGTGATGGCGACCGTTTTCTCGCTGGTGGAGATCGCTGTTGCGGTCGCCGATTAGGCGACGCTGACCGCTGCCGCTTAGGTGACACCGAACGTGACTTCGATCTAGACTTGGATGGCGACCGCGAACCGGATCGCGAAGTCGATTTGGATGGCGATCGCGAACCTGATTTCGATGATCGCCGATCCGAATCGCTTCGATTGGTATCGTTTGCCGCCGATTTGTTATTGTTTGGTGGCTGTTGTTGCTGTTGTTTTGATCGATTATCTTCGGGATCCGGTCGCAACTTGAGTGGCGGCGACGGTGAGTGTGAAGAAACAGAATCGTCGCGACGCGGAGGACTACGACTACTATTTTTCGGCGAACGACTCTTCGATCGACGACTACTACGCGAAATCGGTGACCGCCTGTGCGCTGGCGATTGTGATCGTTTGCGCGGCGATATTGATCTCGGCTTTCGCGGCGACAGCGAACGTTTGCGCTGTGCTGGCGGTGAACGCGAACGTTTGCGTTGCGGTGGCGGCGATCGTGACCGCTTGCGCTGAGGCGGCGAACGCGATCGTTTGCGCGGAGGTGGCGGCGATCGTGACCTTCGGCGCTGAGCCGGACTTCGGCTGCGACTGCGTCGCCGTTGCGATCGTTCATCCGATTTACCATTTTTTTCTTTATCGTTTTCGGTCATATTTTTCAATTTTTCGGCCTTAAAAAATCCAAATCAAATAAACCGATAATTCATTTACCGTAATTAGGGCATAACCGCTATTACCGTCATATCTATGTATATAACACACAATAGACATACCTCTCGTTTCTGGATCTCCTCTTTCTTTTGGTTGACAAACTCGACGGGTATACCGTCGCCAGCGGTCTGTGCGCTCATCAACAGATGCCAGAGTTCGCCCATAAATTCGCGGGCCTTTTTGCCGTTCAAAAAACCGGTCAAATTAATTTGCATCATCTTGCCGTCGGGAAACTAAATTGATGGCCAATCCAAACAACAATAAAAAAAACAACAACACAATGATTGTCAACAACAATAAACACAATCAGTGGTCAAACACGTGTGTGTGTGTGTGTGTGTGCGCTATATATTTATTTACCCGATCGGCCTGTAGTTGATTGACAACATATTCGACCACAACTTCGTCCTCCATTTCCAGCAACTGTGCTATTCGTTGGTGAATCCATGGACGCATAACATCCAGATTGACTTTCTTGATGTCCACCTAAACAAACAAAACAAAACAAAACAAATTGTCCGCTTATTAGTCGGGAACAAATTAGGTGACAATGACAACAACAACGAAATGGACTGACTTTATTGACCAGCGAGTCATTGAACTTCAATTGTTTCAATAGTTTCTTGTGTTTGTCGGCAAATCGGTTGTCCTGTTCGGCGCTCGTGCCCTATAGGAATAGGATAGACAAACAAACAAACAATCGGTTAATTACATTTGTCCACCGCTTATGGTATGACCACAAAAAAAAACTTACCCGAAAAAAGCCGGCGTCAGTCATGTCTGTCCTCAACAACAATCAAAGCGATGGTACGGGTCTTCAAATTCAACGCCTGTGTCTGCTGACCGGCCGTTAGTTTTTTTTTAATTGTATAACTGTGTCGGATAACTGTGTGTCCGCTGTGCCGACGGCGATACAACCGGTTAAGCCATAGCTGACTGTCTTTTTTTTTAATTAATTAATTATTAATTTAGTTTCAATACATGCGGTAATTGATTGACGACAACAACAACAACAACACTACTAAACACTACTATTAAATGATAACAACAATAGTGTCAAACAAATGGCGACACATTAGACACACACAACACACACATACAGTACACACACGTTATTATATTAAAGCCGGGAGTTTCAACACATTTGGTACTATTTTATGTTATTTTAAATATTATATTGTTTTTAATGTGATTTTAATGTTATCTATAAAAGGTACAAAACAAACTGTATATTAAAGCCCTAGGAGTTGTGCAATACATTTGGTACTATTTTACATGTTATTCAAAAATACTATATTGTCTACAACTAAATGTTTGTATCGATAAAAGGGTACAAAATAACAAATTTAATACTGCATTGCATTCAAAATTCATACATAAATACAGTGTTTTTTTAAAAATAATTATTTAAATATTTGTTTAGTTTAGTTAATAATTAGTTAATAATAGTTAATAATAATTAGTTATTATTATAAATAATATATAGTTTTTTTTATATATAATAAGTTTTTATGTAATAGTCAGTCAATAGTCTATAATAAAAATTATATAATAATAATAATAATAAAAACACGTGATATGTCTGGCCTCAAGTTTACCGCCGACCAGATCCAGGCCACCGGTTCGGTACTCAACGATTCGACTGGTCGACCGATTGGCCAACGTTTTCGGGCATTGTTTACCCTGCGTAATATTGCCGGCCAGGCCAGTATCGATCAGATTAGCCGATGTCTACTGGACGACGATTCAGCCCTATTGAAACACGAGTGCGCCTATTGTTTAGGCCAAATGCAGGACCCGCTGGCCATACCAGTGCTCAACCAGGTTCTGGCCAACATCGGCGAGCATCCGATGGTCAGACACGAAGCTGCCGAAGCACTCGGAGCTATCGGTGCCCAACAATCCCTGGATGTCCTTAAAGTATGTCTCTGTTTTGATTGACTAAAAACTTATCGCTAACTAAATCTGTGACCAAAATTTGTAGAAATACCTGAACGATGACAACAAATCGGTAGCCGAAACCTGTCAGCTRGCCATTAGCCGTATTGAACACTTGTTGGACTCAACCAACGAGTTGGTCGGCGGCGACTCGATTGCCTTCAAATCGGTAGATCCGGTACCGCATCTCAAACGGGACAATGACGAAAACAATAATGTCCAACGATTGGAGTCGATGTTAACTGATTCGGGCAACGATTTGTTTACCAGATATCGGGCAATGTTTGCCCTGAGAAACCTGAATACCGATGAATCGGCTGTTGCATTGGCCAACGGTTTGCAATGTCCCGATTCGGCACTGTTCCGGCACGAAGTAGCCTACGTATTGGGTCAGATGCAAAATCCCCGAACCGTTGACCAATTGGCTAAAGTATTGGCCAATTTTGATGAAAACGAAATGGTTAGACACGAATGCGCCGAAGCATTGGGCGCTATCGCCACCACTGAAGCCGAACGCGAGCTAAACAAATACATCGATGACCGGCATCGGGTGGTCAGAGAATCGGTAGAAGTGGCACTCGATATGACCGACTATAACAATAGCGATGACTTTCAATATGCAAATACATTATCGGCAAAAACAATGAAAGAAATGTAATTATTATTATAATAACTGAAAACAATTCAATTGAAATATTTATAATAAAAAAGAAATTATTTTTTAAAATAAAATTTAAGATTTTTCATAATTATTTTGTTTGTTTGATTGACATTTGAAATACATTTGATAATTGAATTATAAAAAAATTAATGGATATATTATATATAGATTTTAAAAACTAAATGTTTGGATAAATTTTTTGTTTGTTTGTTTGAATGTATGAAAAAACAGGTGATTTTCTATACTTTTTTTTTAAATAAAATCGTTAAATATTTTTTTTAATTATTGATGACTGGGCTGGAGATCCTCATTAAAATCTTGTTGTTGTTGTTGGCTATCGTTATCGGTGGTAATCTCTTGTGGTTGTTGTTGTTGTTGTTGGCCTTCCGGTTCCTGTTGTTGGTGTTGGCTATCATCGCCAGCAGTCGCCGACTCTGGCGATTGTGGTTCTTCACCTTCTTTGGCTACCGATTCCTGGTTTTCATCCTGAGATGATGGCTGAGACTCTTCTTGATTGACTACTTCTTCCGGTGTAGCGTGACTTTCGATAGCCGGTGTCGTATCGGACACTTGTTGGGCGGTTTCATCAGCAGCAGAGACATCGTGTGTACCGCAGGCACAGGGATCACAATGACAGGGATCGCATCGGCATTTCTTTTCGTCAGTAGACGACGGCTGCGGTGGCGGCAAGTCCTGTGTCTTTTCCGGCTCTTCTGATGGCTGTTCATGGCTTGGCTGATGTTGTTCGTTGACATCGGCGGTAACAACTGTGGTAACAGTCGGCTGCTCCTGTGGCGCATCGCTACCAACCTGTTCCTGTCCTGTCTCCTGTGCTGCCGATTCTTGGCTGACAACTACCGGTTCCTGTTGTTGTTGTTGCTGTGGGACTACAGACATGTCCTCAGCTGCCGTATTTGTTGTCGTTGTCGTCGTCGTAGTCGTCGATGAGCAACAGTTACACGGATCGCATTTACAGTCAACGCACGAACATTGATGGCCAACATTGATGCCGGTGGTAGTGGTGGTGGTTGTGGTTGTCTGCGATTCAGGCGCTTCGGTAGTATTTTCCGGTGCTGTAGTGGTGGTAGTAGTAGTTGTTGTAGCCGTTGGTGTCGTCAATTCCTGTTGTTTTTCGGTCTTATCTGCTGTTGTCGGCTCCGGTAGTGCATCCCTGACCTCATCGACGCCCCGTTTAAATAGCGATAGTTTTAATCCCATTGTGTGTGTGTGTATGCTATAACTTATGGTATAATTTCAATATACAGTATATATATATATAAAACACGAAATTAATAAAATTAAAAAAAAATTATATAAATTTTTTTTTATATTGAATAATAAACTAAATTAATTAAAACAAAACTGAAATTTAAACTAAATTAAAAAAAAAATTAATGAAACAAAATGCACACAAAAAAATTTACATTTATTTTTTTTGTTAGTTTTCAGGAGCACAACCTAAACACTTTGATGTATAACTATATGAATGAGAGGCACTGGTAGTTAAGTCAGGCACTTATATCCCCCTCAAAAAAGAAAAGTAAGTATTTTTAGAAACTTTACTCAAACACTGTATATAATGTCTTACAGGAAGAGGTAATAGGAAAGTTGGGTTTTATTTTTCGCATATATATATTCAACTGTAAGACATGGGGTATATATATATATATGTATACATTGGATATCATATTATTTAGTAGTTGTAGTAATACTTGAGCTTTCAATACAGTCATAGACTAAACACACTAAACTATATACCAGTATATATATATATGGGGTGTCAGTTGCTATAAATATATTAATAGCAATTGACTCTATTATTATTAATATTATTATTATTATTATTATTACCAATTGGTTTATTATATAAGGGATAGGGAGTCAGTCATATATATCTTTATATATATATACAGTCAGACAACTATGCCTTTACTCTGTCTAATAATCTCATACTCATTGAAAATTTCAATTTCAAATGTTATTGAGATGTTATTAACAAACAACACAAAAAAAATTCAAGTGTTTTTCAATACCAAAAAAATATATACTGTATATGAAAAACATTTATACGAATATCCATTTACCCAATAAATAGTTGAAAAATATATTATTTAAAAAAAAACATGTTTAGTAATAAATACATGAATATTAGTTATGAGATATAAATTTATATGGGATATTATACCGGTATAAACCGTATATAAATGATATGAGAGATGTCTAGCATAACAAGTGATAACACATATGTGTGAATGATTATATATGTATGTATGTATGTGTGTGTGTGTGTGTGTGTGTGTGTGTATGTATCTATGTGTGTGTGTGTGTGT